GCAATCCTCCTGTCTTGGCCTCCCAAAGTGCTGGGATTATAGACATGAGCCACTGAGCCCAGCCCTATTTTTATTTTTTATGTATTGTTTTTTTTTGAGACAGTGTCTCACTGTGTTTCCCAGGCTTGAGTGCAGTACTGAGATCATAGCTCAATGCAGCCTTGAACTCCTGAATTCAAAGCAATCCTCCTGCCTCAGCCTCCCAAGTAGCTGGGACTACAGGTGTGCACCACTAATCCCAGGTCTAAGATGCTAAGACCCCGTCGACGCTTGGCTAATTTTATATTTTGTGGAGACAGAGTCTTGCTATGTTGCCCAGGCTGGAGTGCAGGGGTCCAGTCTTGGCTCACTGCAGCCTCTGCTTCCCAGGTTCAAGCAATTCTCGTGCCTCTGCCTCCTGAGTAGCTGGGATTACAAGGGTGTTCCATCATGCCTGGATAATTTTTGTATTTGTAGTAGATACAGAGTTTCACCATGTTGGCCAGGTTGGTCTCGAACTCCTAACCTCAAGTGATCTTCCCACCTCCGTCTCCCAAAGCATTGGGATTACAGGCATGAGCCACCACACTGAGCCCAATTAGGATTTTAAAAGATAAATGAAATCCAATACACTTCCCACTCACACACCTGCCACCACCCCTGCCAAGTGCTAGGGATCTTGGGTTCATAAACAAATGAGCTAATATTTGCAAAGCCACTTGGTAAAATTTAGAGTGCTACTGGCGGAGCTTAGCTGTCATTATTACCATATAACTGATGCTTTAGAGTTGTGGCTCTCTCCGTGGACCTGGTGTGACAGTTGTGGGGGACCGGGAAGAAGGTAAAAGAGCATTAGAATAAAGTCTAAAGTTTCTTACTTTCAAATGTCAGAGGATTGTAAAGAATGACTCCTGGTATGGCCATGTTGAATGAATTCAAAATTCAGGAGGCAGAAAAAAAGAAGTCTATTTCATGTGACTTTCTCCAAATGGCAACTTAGTTCTGCAATTCCCTAACCTAATTAATGGGAGGCCACCCATGTCACCAAGGAGAGAGGCTCACTGTACGTTACCCTATTATCCCGCCAAGTCCTGTGGAAGTGAAAAGTTTGGGAGGGAATCTTTAAATCACACTAATACATTGCCTATTTTCTTCAAACACATTTTCAAGAACATTTTGAGACCATCCCCTGGAGAGAAGCAACAGGCAAAAGGTATAAGGATATTATCTTCAGTTGTTTAGAGAAGAGTTTTGAGGGAGATTATCCCAACAGGGCTGTCACCTTCAAATCTTAATCCTCTTAGACCTCAACAAACAGCCTATGGGTTCCCCTTTTCATAAGTCCGAGAATGCCTCTGGCCAAAGTGGCCTAAGGACATTTCAGAAGGAATGGGCAGTCAAGAGCCCAGGTCTAAGATGCCAAGACCCTCTTGATGGTCCAACTATTCCCATAGCCCTGGCTTTCAGTTGTTATCTTCGTGTCCACTGCTCATGAACCTCTGAAATGCATCAGTCACGGAGAATTACATGGGAAAGGCACGGTCTTCTAATTAAAAAATCTGAAATCAAATCCTTGCGCACTTTGATAGCATCTTTCAAAAGCAAAATTGCCCGCTCAATTATCCAGATAGCACGTCCTGCCTATACAGAGAAAAATGACACACAACAGAGTGAATACACTTGATATTTTTAGAGGGATGTACCATGGAATATCTGTTAGTGTAATTAATTTAATTGAGTCATACCTACCAAGAAATTATTTAATTATATTTCTAGTTGAATAGATGATAATGATGATAATAAACTAACATTCTTTTTAAAAAAACATTCTATTTATTGCCAGGTGATAGGAAGAGATTGAGAGAGGGATGGAAATCATTACTGAGAAGGCTTGAACAACCACAATTTACTGCGAAGAGATAAAAACCAAACACCTCAGCCATATTATCACCATAATTGTCTGCAGTTTACCCATCTTGTAAAATAAACGGATCATGAAATGTGAGAGCACGTTTCAAAACATACATAGAAGGTGTTAGAGTGATTATGCGTAGGCTGCCTGACTTAATTGTAAATTGTTTTTCTTTCAGTGGGAAGTGAAAAGGTATTAATTAGCAGTGATTTCGACAAGATTGGAAGTCCACGAACTTTGACTTAGAGAGAACTTTGCAAAGGCACCTACATGCTGCAAAGAGAGCTTTTTTCTTTTTTTTGCTTTTAATGGCATTTTGTTGTTTGCTAATCCCTGGTGCAGGCACATACTTGCAGATCTGAGATTTGATAAATGCACAAGTGGCTCAAGTTTTAACAAGAAGCTTTTCTCTCCTAACTCCAGGTGGCAAAGGCAAAAGCTGGACTGCATTGTGCGGCCCCAGGGAGCTGCAGACAGAGGATCTGAGTCCTGGCCACTGTGCCAGCTGTCTTACAAGTTTAGAGATGCTGGCATTGCATCGAAATCGGACAACACTCCCTTCCCTCCCTTCCCAGGCACTCCGTTCCCAACCTTTTCCACCAACAGGTCCTTATTCTCAGCAGCCAAAATAATTTATGGGTTTCTACTGTTCTCCTTGGCTGAATCTTCAAGTACACCAACTCCCCCCTCTTCTGGACAGACTCTCCATAATTCAGCTGGCATCTAATCAGCACCTTGCTGCTCTTCCATTCTTCCTTTCTCCAGAGTCGTGATTCTTCCTTCTCAAGTCAAAGAGGAATTACAAGCAAATAGACACCATCCTTGAGTGCAGTTCGGGTTACACAGAATGGGGAATGAACTCGGTCTCATTTTTGCTTCTCTGTTGAAAATAAGCTCAATATCTGCCTTGCACAGAAAGAGAATCGGCTTCACTAAGGCAAGCAGCATTACCCCTTTTGTCCTGGTCAGCATCGCAGCTCTGCATTCCCCTCTCGCAGAGGTGACTATTCATTGCGTTCTTTCCAGGAATGTTTTCTGAGCTTCAGGAGGCCCTGAGTTACCTGGATAATTAGTGCTGTCCTCTTGCACAACGCAAAAACAAAACCATTATGAGATAGCTTCTTTAGCTAAGTTGGGAATGGGGTTTAAATGCGCGGGCAAATAGATCTGGCACTCCAATTCAGACTGTTGTATTTTGTGATCCACCCTCCCTCTGATCACAGCATATAAGACTCTGATGAACCTCACTAGCAACAGGGAATTCTCCCTCCACTGCAGATAAAACAATGGTAATATGGAAGTGAAAAATGGATAATTTAAAAATGAAATTCTCTGTGGGGCGCCGTGCAGTGGGTGTTTCTGTGTGTGCATGTGTTTTACACCAGTCTCTGTTACTTTTGTAGTTTGGATCAGACTTCCATCAGTCTGTTAATTTTGTTACTGGATCCCACCACTTACCCAAAGTTAGCCTTTGGGTTGAGTGCTTCCATGGTATAGTCCCTTCTGTGGACACCAGAAAGATGTTACAGGAAAGGGGTCCTGATTCAGACCCCCAGAGATGGTTCTTAGACCTGGTTGGGAGTCCGAGGTGGGTGGATCACTTGAAGTCAGGAGTTCAAGACCATCCTGACCAACATGGTGAAACCCCATCTCTACTAAAACTACAAAAATTAGCCAGGTGGGCCAGGCACGGTGGCTCACACCTGTAATCACGCCTGTAATCCCAGCACTTTGGGAGGCCGAGACAGGTGGATCACCTGAGGTCAGAAGTCCAAGACCAGCCTGGCCAACATGGCAAAACCCTGTCTCTACTAAAAAAAAAAAAAAAAAAAAAGTACAAAAATTAGCTAGGCATGGTGGGCCGCACCTGTAATCCCAGCTACTCGGGAGGCTGAGGCAGCAGAATCACTTGAACCCAGGAGGTGGAGGTAGCAGTGAGCCAAGATTGTGTCACAGCACTCTAGCCTGGGTGACAGCTAGACTCCAACAAAAAAAAAAAAAAGAAAGAAAGAAGAAAGAATTAATTAATTAATTCAGGATGAGTCCATAAGTGAAAGCAAATTTGTTAAGACAGTAAAGGAATAAATAATGGCTACTCCACAGACAGAGCAGCCCCGAGGGCTGCTGGTTGCTCATTTTTATGATTATTTCTTGATGATATGCTAAACAAGGGGTGGATTATTCATGCCTCCCCTTTTTAGACCATATAGGGCAGCATCCTGATGTTGCCATGGCATTGGTAAACTGTCATGGCGCTGGTGGGAGTGTAGCAGTGAGGACGACCAGAGGTCACTCTTGTGGCCATCTTGGTTTTGGTGGGATTTGGCAGGCTTCTTTACTGCAACATATTTTATCAGCAAGGCCTTTATGACCTGTATCTTGTGCTGACCTCCTGCTTCATCCTATGACTTAGGATGCCCTAACCATCTGGGAATGCAGCCCAGTAGGTCTCAGCCTCATTTTACCCAGCTTCTCTTCAAGATGGAGTTGCTCTGGTTCAAACACCTCTGACAATTTCACAGATGGATTCCAGGGACCTGTGCGCAGTCTCTGGAAGTCTTTGGCTGGATGTGATGGCTGACCAGGAACTGTGGCCCACCTTGTAGTTCCCAAACATGGGGGAGCAGACAGGTGGAGTGTAGCCCACAAACCACTGCACATGCAGGAAACAGATCCCATGTCAGGACCCTTTGTAAGCGCTGCATCCTTCCAGACCAGTGGAGAGAACCCATCAGCACGTATCTGTAGCCTTTACCTTTTGCAAGAACATATCTCTGCATTGTGTTTGGTAATTTAACATTTTTGACAAAAACAACATGAAAGAGATAACGTTAAAAAATGCTGGCAGAGAGCACAGAGGATTTTCAGGGCAGTGAAACCTTTCTGTATGATCCTCTAATGTCATTATACATTTGTCCAAACCCAGAGAAAACACACCACCACCAAGAGTGAACCCTAATGTAAATTCTGGATTCTGGGTGATGATGATGTCCAGTGTAGGTTCATCAATTATTTATGTAAACCAAAATAAAATTCTAAGCCCTCCAGCTATCTAAATGGACCCCTCCTCTTGGCCAAGATCATTCCAAAGCTAACCTGAAAAAACTAGCTCAGGCCATGTTCGAAAGAGAAAGAGAAAGCCAGATGTGCCTCATTATCCCCTCCTCCCTTTTGGAATTGCTGATAAAACAGACTCTTTAAGTCTGACAAGAAACATTTACAATCTATTCTCTCTAAAGCCTGATATCTAGAGGCTTCATTTGCAGCATAAAATCTTGGTCTCGGCCAAGTGCAGTGGCTCACACCCATAATCCCAGCACTTTGGAAGGCCGAGGCAGGAGGATCACGAGGTCAAGAGATCGAGACCATCCTGGCCATCATGGTGAAACCCCGTCTCTACTAACAATACAAAAATTAACTGGGCGTGGTGGCATGCACCTGTAATCCCAGCAACTTGGGAGGCTGAGGCAGGAGAATTGCTTGAACCTGGGAGGTGGAGGTTGCAGTGAGCTGAGATCATGCCACTGCACTCCAGCCTGGCAACAGAGCGAGACTCCATCTCAAAAAAAAAAACAAAACAAAGCCAAACCTTGGTCTCCACAACCCTTTATCATAACCCAGACATTCCTTTCTATGGATAAAAACTCTTTCAACCAATTGCCAATCAGAAAATTAAAAAATCTACCTATGACCTGGACGCCCCTGTTTCCAAGTTGTCGCACCTTTGCAGCCTGAACCAATGTACGTGTTGACCGAGGTCTCATGTCTGCCTATGATGTATAAACCAGTTGTACCCTGACCAGGTTGGGCACGTCATCAGGACCTCCTGAGGCTGGGTCATGGGTACGTCCTTAACCTTGGCAAAATAAACTTTCTAAATTGATTGAGACTTGTCTCAGAGACTCTTGGTTTCCATTACAAATGTGCCACGATGGCAGGAATGTTGATAGTGTGGGAAGCTGTGTGTGTGCTGGAGAGGCAGAGAGTATATGGGAACTCTCTGTATCTTCTGCTCCATTTTACTGTAAACCTAAAACCACCATAAAAAAAATAAAGTCTGTTAAAAAAAAGCAAACAAATCAACAAAACTACAGTGGGTCATCCCACAAATCTTTGATGCAATGAGGTCAACTAAACATTTTTTTTAATTAGCCATGCCATAAAATTTAGGTGTATTTTTGTTTTATTTAATGGAAAAAAAAAAAGAAGATGCTGGCAGTGAACGAGGGACAGGAATGAAGGGCACCTATAACAGGTAAACCATAGACACTTGTCTAAAAATAATACCTACATCTCCCTTTTCAGCTTTAATTATTTTAACACCCCTGGTGAGCTGTCTGAGAGCTGAGATGTGAGCATTCTCGGGAGCCTCTCTGCAGCCCCTGACACTTGGTTGTTACTTTATTTAGAGTTGACATCAGGCGAGGAAGAGAATTGGGAAACTGAGGGCCAGGAGGAAATTTGGGAACATTTTCAAATCCACCTACAGCTGTCAGCAGGACGCCAGCTCCCTAAACAGCTGTGGGTACAGAGGACCCTGAAAGCCACTCCAAAAACTTAGATCTCCCTCCCAGCAGCTTTGCAGGGCTCGGGGAGTTAATGATGAAGTTCTTCCTTATGTTGAGTGCAGAGCTCCAGCCTTCTGATGGGATGAGTGCTGAAGATTAGAAAACGGCTTCTTCGGAGGAACTCCAGAGACATAACGCTGAGAAAATGAAGTCAGCCATTCATGAGAATATACCGTATGATCTGGCGTGATTCTGTAGGGTTTCTGCACTTTAATCCCTTTGTGATCGCCATAAATATGTTACAGGAAAGGGGTCCAGATCCAGACCCCAAGAGAGGGTTCTTGAATCTCACGCAAGAAAGAACTCAGGGCAAGTCCGTAGTGCAAAGTGAAAGCAAGTTTGTTAAGAAAGTAGAGGAATAAAGAACAAGAAAGAATTCAGGGCAAGTCCGTAGTGCAAAGTGAAAGCAAGTTTGTTAAGAATGTAAAGGAATAAAGAACCACTGCTCTACAGACAGAGCAGCCCTGAGGGCTGCTGGTTGCCCATTTTTCTGGTTATTTCTTGATGATATGCCAAACAAGGGGTGGATTATTCATGCCTCCTCCTTTTAGACCACATAGGGTAACTTCCTGACGTTGTCACGGCATTTGTAAACTGTCACGGTGCTGGTGGGAGTATAGCAGTGAGGACAAGTAGAGGTCACTCTCGTAGCCATTTTGGTTTTGGTGGGTTTTGGCCCGCTCCTTCACTGCAACCTGCTCTATCAGCAAGGTATTTACGGCCTGTATTTTGAGTTGACCTCCTATCTCATCCTGTCACTTAGGTTGCCTTAACCATCTAGGAATGCAGGCCAGTAGGTCTCAGCCTCATTTTACCCAGCTCCTGTTTAGGATGGAGTTGCTCTGGTTCACACGCCTCTGACAATTCCTTCTTGCAAAAGTCAAAACACAGGCCATGCATGCTGGCTCATGCCTGTAATCCCAGCACTTTAGGAGGTTGAGGAGGGAGGGTGGTTTAAGGTCAGGAGATCCAGACAAGCCTGGACAATACAATGGGAAAGGAAGATAAATCTTGGGGCCTCCAAATCGCTAAACTAAAGGAAAAAGTCAAGCTGGGAACTGCTTAGGGCAAACCTGCCTCCCATTCTATTCAACGCCATTCCTCTGTTCACCGAGATGAATGTCTATCTGATTGCCTCCTTTGGAGAGGCTAATCTGAAACTCAGAAGAATGCAACCATTTGTACCTGGAAGCTCCCTCCCTACTTCGAGTCATCCAGCCTTTTCTGGACCAAGCCAATGTCCAACCTACATATGTTGATTGATGTCTCATGTTTCCCTAAAATGTATAAAATCAAGCTGTGGTCTGACCAACTTGGGCACACATTGTCAGGACCTCCTGAGGCTCTGTCATGGGCTCACATCCTTAACTTTGGCAAAATTAACTTCCTAAATTGACTGAGACCTAAGATTTTTGGGGTTCACAATAGTGAGACCCTGTCTCTGCAAAAAAAGTAAGAGATTAGCTAGGTGTCACAGCACACGCCTGTAGTCCCAGCTACCTGGGAGGCTGAGGCAGGAGGGCCACTTGAGCCCAGGAGCTCACTGCACCACTGCACTCCAGCCTGGGCGAGACAGAACAAGACTGTCTCAAAACAAAACCAAAAAAACCATACAATCCGTGGTGGTAGATATCACAATAGTGTTTTTTCTTTGCTGGGGCTACCACTGAGAGGAAACTTCTGGGATGCTAGATTCTATACCATCCTCTGGAGGTATTTACTTTGCAAAGATTCATCATGCTGTATCCTTGAGAGGTGGGAATTCACCATATGTGAGTCACATCCCATTAAGTTATGCCTCTAGATGATCTTTATCTCCTTCTTTATCTAGCTCATATACACTGACAAATGTGGAACATACAGAAATGTACAGGGAATGGTAGGTTACATGCTGCGTACTCACAATTCAACTTTAACAAGCCTTAACATTTTTCTGTTTCCTCCAAAGTTTTTCTTGTCTTTTGAAGAAATAAAACATTACCGGTAGCATCGAAAGCCTGGATGTCTCTGTTTCTGATCACACTCTTTGCTCTCCCTCTCCAGAGGTAACCATCATCTTGTGTTTACTATTTTTCATTTTCATTTATGTTTTTGTATCTTCCCAACGTATATATTTTATGTAGCCACCAAAGATACATTGTGTTGTTTTGCAGGCTTTTAAACTTTATATGAATGGCATCGTAGTGTAGCAGGACGAGGCTGCAGACAAAACTCCTCAGACACCGAGTTAAAGAAGGAAGGGGTTTATTCGGCCGGGGCATCGACAAGACTCCTGTCTCAAGAGCCAAGCCCCCCGAGTGAGCAATTCCTGTCCCTTTTAAGGGCTCACAGCTCTAAGGGGGTGCGTGTGAGAGGGTCATGATTGACTGAGCAAGCAGGGGTTACGTGACTGGAGGCTGCATGCACCGGTAA